ATGATTTTGATCATCATGTAAGACTTATGCAAGAAATAAGATGAAAATCTTTCAAAACTTCACTGTTTTCAAATTAAAATTGATCAGTAATTCTGATAAAGAGATTTTTAAACGGTCAAATGCTCTTAATAACATTAACTTAATGATTTTAGGCTTACAGCAAAGGAAATACCCTGAGATAAAGGAGTTACGTATTTTTCTAACGGATGATGACGCTATAGTCTCACAGGCAATAAAGCACTTAGTAGCTTATCATAATCAGAAACGGTTATTGCTACCCTATGTTTCAACCATTACGTAATTTCAAACTTAATTTTCTTTTTTTAAAATTTACTTATAATTTTTTAATGAACTTTTAATTTTTTTCTATAAACAATTTTAGCTTCACGTGGACTTGTTTTTGTTTATTATTTTTTAAAAACAAGGGTCGTGAGAACTTGACGCTAAAATTTGAACCTAATCAAAATTTTTTTTTCTCAATTTCGTTTAACAAATAATTCGCCTTCTCTTTTTGAATCGGCAACTTTTGTTGCATTCCATCGTTTTGTGATGACTCTTAAGGGTTTTGTTAAGTCAGTAACCCTGCCTCTGGGCTAGTCGTTCACCCAAAAAAGAGGAATTTGGCCGATTCTTTTGATTTGGAAGGTACTTTCTCAGAGTAAGGACTGTGGTGTTGCGTTGATTTCTCTACCTGAGTCACATCTATCGTTTGGTTCCCCTCGCTTTTTAGGCGTTGTAAAGTTTTGTAACTTTTACTGTAGCAATAAAGATGGCATCTTTTTCAGAGAAAAGCGCAAAATATTGCTACAATAAAATGCAACAACTTTAAGGTGATCGAATTATTTGTTTAAACTAAGTGGATCTGTTCACTATTTTTGTGAAGAGGGATAGTAAAAGCATCCCCTGGAGCACAGACGCAAATGCATATCAACATGGCACCCGATTTCAAGGGCTAGCGCGAACGACTGCATTTGTGATCTTCCACGCAAAAATAATGTCAATGGTGAAACTTCAAAGCCTTAGTAATTCGCAATTTAAAAATAAAAATATCTATGACCTCGTCTTTTACACACATGGTGTCACATTTATTTTTAAATTGTTGACATGCCCTGCAAACCCAGAGACCAATTTACTTTTTTTCTCTCCTTCTCTAAATAAATAGTTTACCTAAATAATTTCTCATATTTCTCAAATTTCTCAGTTATTTTTTCTCTTTATGTGAATTGATTTTTATACTTGGCACCTTATAATTGGTTTTATTTAAAATAATAATGAAATTCGGAACGATCTTCTTACTGAAGAGTGATATTTTTCTTTTTGTCATAAGTAAAAGTTCAAAATTTTTTTTTAGTTTGTTGTAATTTCTGATTCTTAGTTTTTAAAGCGTCTAATATGAAATTTTCCATTGGTTAGTCTCTTTGTTTGTTCCAGCTCCAGTTTATAATTTTTAATTGAGCAATGTAATTTTTTTTTTGGCGTTCTAACTTTTTTATTTTAATTCAAGTACTTCTTTTTGCCCCTCCCCTTCAATTAATTTTCAATTGTTTTCTTTTTCATGGCCTTCAGCCACACTCACCACCCTTCTTTTTTATTGTTTTTAAAATATCTTTCTTTTTTTTTTACGACGACGTGGGCGCCGTCTTTTTCGGTAAGGGTGACATGAGATATTTAGATAAGGAGCTTAACTCTTAATCTAAATTGCGCTCATTAACTTTTTTTGATAAACTTAAAAAACTCAACGTTCTTTTTATCGACTTGATCTGTGGGCTTGCAAGGAGCCTCAGCTCAGCGAGAAGACAGACTCTGGTCGAGAGCCTCGGCTCCACCACAACTCTCTCTCTTGTTTTCTGGACTCTGGACTTACGATTTTTGGAACATGGAACCCCGGACAACTTTGGTGAATCGTTGAAAAACCTTTCTTTTCCCTTCTGGAATCTTCTTCATTTTTAGACAGCTTTAACAATTTTAATTGATTTAATATTTTTCAATTTTTTTACCTTCTTCAAAAATTCTTAAAATTTTCCTTTCAATAAATTTGTAAAACGCCAGACTACTTCGTCTTTCTTTAACTTGAAATCATCCCGATCGTTAAAAAGCATGAATGTTCAAATATTAGTTTTCTTCAGTTTTCTGATTCTGCTCTCCCGCTGCATTTCAGCAGGTATAATTGTCCAAATACTTGGATTTTCACTTTAAGGGTGAATTTCAGAGTATTTCGTCAATTATATCTCACAACCGCTCCTCCAGTGATAATACTTGATTCCATGTAAGAGTATAAGTCGTAAAGTTATAAAATTACGCCTTATATGGAATCGGGTTTATCTCTGAAGGAAGGATGACCATCCCAATGAGCCTTCTGCTTTATTTCTCCATTGTAAATGGTGGTCATCACACATCCGCTATTTGCTTCCAGACTCAATAGCTATAGTAGCAATATCCGCGGAGATCGCCTTTGCTTATAATATTCTACTGGAGCAAGGAAAGACAAAGAAACTTGAAAATTGCAATGCAAATTTCTTGAATGAACCTTTATAACTAGCATGTATTCATCAACATACACATTCTCTGAAACTATACTATGGTTTGAGCACTATCGTGATAATTTGCGTTACAATCACAACACACAATTAGAGTGTTCTAAAGGGTTTGAAGATAGAGTAGCCAGCAGCCTGATTGTTGAAATTTTTTGTTTGTCGGGACAACATAGATGGCATAGGTTAAAAGGCAGAGCGGGATTGGTTGGCTACGTCTTATCGCTGCTTTGTCGTGCCTATGTCGGGTTGAACTAACGACAAGCTACCAGCACCTCTCAAGTTTCCGACAGTATGCCATCCATTCCACCTGACAAAGGCACGGCAAAGCAATGATAAGACATAGCCGACTAATCTCGCTCCGCCTTTTAACCCATGTCACCTGGGTTGTCCTGACAAACAAAAAAATTCAACATTCAGGCTGCTGATAGATTTTGCATGGTCACTGTGGTTTGGCATGGTTCAGCAAATATTGCTTCTGATATGAGGTAACACACATTGAAATAGTTCAGCACATACCTTAAGTAGAATTTTGGCATCCGACTCGGCATAGATTTGTTGCTAAAACTACTGACGCTGCCTTTAAATCCTTGATATGGGTCTCGCTCAAAACCAGATTACTAGGATTTTTTGACATCGAACAGATTTCCGCAGGGATAAGGGTACTAAAATTCACTTGTCATAGGTACTTACAGTTTTGCTTGCGAACAAATGAACCACAGATGGAGGAAGGTACAGAGAACTTGTAGCACGGTAATAAAGGTAGAGACAAAGTTTAGAGATAGCAGTGAACAATAAAGGGAAGTTTCATTTGTATGATTTAGTTTGCATTTCGAAATAACAACATTAAATTATTTATTAGTTTAGTTTGTGTGGGTATGTGTACATCTCGCGATAACCTAAAAGCGAAAAGACAAACATTGATTGAATTGACTTGACTGTGACGTCAACTAGCTATCCGGCACAAAGTCACGACGGCAGGGAATTCAAAATTCTTAGAAACCAGTTGTTAATAGATAAAAAAACAAATCGGAAAATGAGTGATTAACGCAAATCTATGTTTTAATCTCAGTTTCTCTCCAAGCAAGGAAAAGAGGGTCGTGATTCAGAATTCACCGGCCGGGATTCACTTGATTCACTCTGTTCACTGATGACATAGAATAATAGCTACTTATTTATTATTCTAAAGATGATGATAAGATTCTTTCCAAGGGTTCAGACAATTTTTCAAGACAAATTTATATGGAGCAGCGACAGAGCAGCTAACTGACGTCATGACACTGGCGGCACTGGCGGTGCGTCGTGAATGGTCGTGAATTGAATGAAACAACGACTTTGATCAGTTGAACTTTCTTAAAAATTAATAATACAAAAACACGTTCTAAATTCAAGGAATGATGCCTATGCACTGGTTTAAACCTTTTGAAATGAGTTGCAATGATTTTCATAAATGTTTGCAGCACGTTTACATTTAATGAGGATGGCCGATTGAAGTCAAAATTTCGAGGCACGAATGTGAATGCGGCACGGGTGATTTGAAAGAGTGGCCAAAAAACGGCAGTCAATTAGGGATTATTAATTAATTGCGTAATGAATCAGCTCCAAATTTCGCCTGTAGGCGAGGAATAAAATATGCTTGCCAGAGTGCAAAGGGTTTTGAGTTTCGTTAAGTTTTTGCGCAGATATCTCAAAATAACGCAAAAGTTGAACGGGTTCGTGTAAGATACAGTAGCGGCTCCCATTTTCGTTGTTGGATATCTCTATGGGCTTCACGGGGTCGCTACCGCTCCTAGTAATATAGAATTTTGTGCAAAATTATGAAACTGCAAATAAAAAAGAAGGCTCATTTTACAATCATTTATATGAGTTACAGAGAACCCGAAATTCGTCAAACCTAGTTTCCACAAACCCCTTTCGTTGTAACTAGTTTTGACTCGTTAAAACTAGAAGTAACTGGAGCCCTCACAATTGAAACTAGTTCAAACCGTTTTCCCCCAAAGAGAACTAGTTTTGACTGAATTTGATCAGTTGGAACTAAAACTGTCTAGTGAAAACTAGTTATGATCAGCATTAGGTGAAACTTAGGTGAACCAAGAGGTTTACCTCTTTTGGACCTGTCTCGCACATCAAGATATAGGGTGTAAACAGACAAGAAAAATAATGGTCAACAGTTCGCCAATTTTAATTAGTTGATGACTCTCACTGGTATCATACCCCTCAGTAATCAGTGATCAGTGATTTTCAGGGTGAATTTCATTTTTATTAGAACTAGTCTCAACTGCTCCCTCTGAATTGAGGGTTAATTCTAGTTTAAATAGTGTAATTTCTAGTTCTTAAAACTCCTAAAGGACAACTAGCTCCGAAGAAAGGGAACTAGTTTTGAACTAGTTTTCACAAACTAGTCAGAACTAGGTTTGACGAGTTTCGGGTTCTAACTGAAACATGTATGATACCTCTAATTAGGCTTACCACAATCAATTATGTCAGCGTTTACATGCGGTTTATCTTCTTTCTTGGACTTGCAACTTTCCAACTCATTATGATCTACTTTGGTCTGCAAAAAAAATATTGCAAAAAATGAGTGCTTGTTTTTGCCAGAAGTTGATATAAGAGTGTGCCAGAAAAAAAGTTTACCTCCTTCATACCTCGTAACATTGGTAGACAGAGACTATTAGTAAAAAGCATTGTAAAGCTGCTGCTTGCAGTTTTCTAAAGCAATAAAGAACTTAAAATTTGAAAATTCTAGTTTGATGAACAGAAAGTGCCAGGAATTTCACAAGTAAAACTACTTTTCCTTGCACTCTAGGTATAAGAACAGAGCAGGTGATAGAGGCCAGCCTCGTCCCTTGTACTTTGTGCTTTCTTTTTTGACTGTCTTTCGTAAAAAAATATGAACAATGGAGTGCCTATGAAGTTAGTTGGCGATGGGTACAAATCAGGCCTTCAAAAGGAATGATACTCTTTGAGTCCATTATCTACTTCTGTATCACCTGTTAGTAAGACCCTAATTTGATCCAGCTTGTAAGCCCTGTTGAGAATCTGTCTTTATTACCTTATGACTATCTTGTATGATAAGGTCGATTATGGTCTGTTTGGACTTTTGCGTAAAATGAAGATGCATGAAACAAATGCTTCAAAAACGGCATCTTCAGAGATTCAAAACTCCCCATTTGAGAGGTTCCTTTAAGAATGAAAAAGTATAAGGAGCTAATAACCCTCAAAAATTATTAGAAGCTGATACCCCCTGGACTCCCCCTCCTCTTTTTGGGGGGCTAACACTTCCTTGACGCGTCTCACTCAAGTTACCCAGCTATTTCAATTGCCTGAGCTTTTTAGTTAGTAAATCCCCCTACACAAACCGCTGATTCACATTTCGAAAGTTTAGGCTCTACAAGGAGCCTTGAGTCTAGAAAACGTGACATTCTTTAGTGACTTGATTTATCTTTTCCAGTTTGTACAATGATTTACTGGAGCTTACTTTTTGAATGATCCTAAAAGAGCAGGTTAATAAATTTGAATTCTATGTGTAAACATTCTAATAGTTTTTATACCATTTGATTGTTGGCATTGTTGATTTTGACTGCTACGTTGTTCTCATTATCAATGGAACCACCCAGATTATGTTCAACTGACACATTGGAGTTTGACTTGCAGACTGGGTAGTCATACTCAGCAGATGTATCTTGTTTAATTGAATTGTCAAGAGAGGGGCTAAGTTCATCTCTCAGGGTGTCGAATCCTGATTGGTCCAGCTGCACTTTGGCAACAGCAACTTCTAGATCATCGGTAACTACTTCCACGTTTTTGATACATTGCACGACGATATCTTGTCTCCCGATGTTGCGCAAGCCCTTCTCAAGATTATTGCCTGCAAAATAATTGGAGTACAGTAAAAACTCAATTCAACAGATTCGTTGGGACAATATGTTGAAAAGAAAAGTTAGCTCTTTCGCAGCAATAGATACTGGTGAGTTTGAAGTCCAATTCTTGAACATTTTTTTTAGTATGCAGTCAGTGTGCAGATTGTCCCAGACCACTTGTGCCAGGCCTTTTTCTTTGTTGGTTTAGGTCGTGTGAAGTCGGCGACCGCAGGGTTGAATAGGGAATCGACCCCAAGGAATCCGAATTTCATGGTCCAGGACCCCCCCCCTCCCCAGCTCCCCTTGGGAGACAAAAGGGGAGGCCACAATCCGTCAAGTCAGGATTCCAGATAGAATTATGATATGCTTGCATTGAAATTGAAATGTACAGAAAATTTCAAGTGACATTGACCCCTTAAAATCCAAAATCGGTCTACTTCAGGCCCAAAAATTACTCCTGAAAGATGGTGGGCAGTGTTCTCCTCCATAATTTTCCTTTGGTTGCAGAATTGATATAGATTCTCCAGAAAATGTTGGTTTTCCAAATAATGGACCCTGAAGAATCCGATATTGATGGTCTGAAAGCTCCCTTTGGGCGGGTAAACAGGGGGGGGGCACAATTTTTCCACCCCCCAAGGGGGACTAGGGGGGGTTTCAGGGCCTTGAAAATGGGATTCCTTCGGGTCGATTACCGAGGAAACCATCTTTTTCTGGAGAATCTACGTCACTTTTGCAACCAAAGTGAAATTACGGAGGGCAACACTGTCTCCCTCTTTTAGAATTATTTTTGAGCCTAAAATAGACCGATTTTGGATTTTAAGGGGTCAATTTCATGAGAAATTTTCCGTACTTTTCAATTTTAATGCAAGCAAATCACAATTCTATCAGGAGCCCCGACTTGAGGGATCCTGACCCTTTCCCCTTTACCCCCAAGGGGAGGTGGGGGATTTCGGGACCATGAAATTCGGATTTCTTAGGTCGATTCTCTACTCAACCCTGCAGTCCCAGACTTCGTACAATCTAACCCAACTGAGAAAAAGGCCTGGTACGGGTGGTCTCGGACACCATGCTCATTACACGGCAAACTTAAAAAATAAGTCCTGATTGTTAAAATTGATCGACAAAGCTATAGACAAAGAAGACAGAAAGGATATAGAGGGACCCTATTGGTGAAAGCAGGTGGTTGCAATGGACAAAAGAGGTAGGTGATAGACTAATTACAGCACCTCACGAGCGACCCAATAGTTAGTCCATAATTTTCTCCCGAAGTCTACAACAACCACCCATTTTAACCAGTAGGATCGCTTCATACTCCTTATGTAATCTTTGTCTATCGCTTTGTCGATCAATTTCAACATTCAGCCTGCAGGCATGGTAAAAGTTAAATTAGTCAACACTCACTCATAGATGCCACAATTTTTATTTTTTTTTCACATCAATTTCCCAAAAGAGCATTGTAAAAAAAAAAAAAAAAAAAAAAAAAAAAAAAAAATTGAACTTTCACACAGTACCGTGCTTTCATGAAACGTTTTGTAAAGCGCATGGGTAACGACAGCAGGGACTGACGGCAGGGGTTGACCCCCAGCATACGTCAAAATGCTGGATGCCCAGGTAGCCCGCAGGGAACCTCATCTCCAGGTATGCTGGCATCCCTTGCAATGAAGGATCCGAGCCTACGAGAGTGGATTGCGACATTGATATGCTGGGTTATACATTGATCCACCATGTATCTGCTACTAGCCGGCTACTGAGAGCACCAGGATTGGCCGCCTCAGTTCGAGGAATTTACATTGAAGTGCTCATATTGAGGGCATTATCTCCATTGTCTGGCGCACGGGATCACTAGGATGAACATAAGGCCAAATTTTGAGCTCTCAAGGGCTGCTCTCACATCCTGCTCCTGTGTGAGTGCCAGGATCTGTCGGCTATTGGTTTAGCCGGCTACTTGAGTAGGATCCGTATGCCGAAAATGATATACTAAGGATGGACGTCTTCAAACTACTAGCATAGCCTCCTAGATGCAGAGAGCTGCCTAGAGAGCATGCCCTGAGATCCAGCAGCCTCGAGCATAGCCGAGTAGCGGGGATCCCGTATCCGGACTAGACATTTGTGGCCAGGTAACTGCTACCAGTCCCTGAACTGCAGCATTGAAAAACAGGCTTATATGATCAGTTTTCATCCTTCTATGTATCTGCATATTACTGATAGATGACACCATGTACATGCGGCAACTGTCCTCTTCTTGAGGCCCGGTGCTTCTGAGGGCGGTATTACAGCTCCATTGAAACAAAGTTATATGGAAGGTGAATGTGCCTGAATTCTTATCTATCTTTCTTCACAAGATTCTTACCTGTTGCTCGATTTCCAGCTATCTTTATCCACAGTTTTAACATCACTATGGCCTGCTGTTGAACACTAGAAGGATACTCTGACTCTATGAGCTGGACATCAATATCAGTAACTCCAAGTTCTTGTGCAAGGAGGACCCAGTCTTCCCCAAGCAAGTTACTAATATCTGAGAGTCTAATGTCTGCTCTATGGATGGTTTCTACACTATCTGAAAATTTGTCAAAAATTAAAGTATCTTAGACCGTAGATTTAACTGTTATCAATCTTTCATTACTCGTACAATTTTTAATGATTCAGTGGGGAGAAATTTACAGTTGTAAAATTTAAAACTTATGCTGAAAAAAGCAGAGTACGGTTGCAACAAGAGGCACACTGTGTATGGATCGTATTCGATAGTGGTTTGATGTATTGTTTGCTTCAAAACAATAGAACATAACCTCAAACGAAAATTTCAGGATTTAAGTAGAAAAAGCTAAAGATGAGAAAACTTTAACCAATTTCACTTTCCACTGCCATTTCATACTCATAAGAATAAAAAATCTATCACAAGAAACCCGTTCCCTCAGATTACTCGATTGACTTATGAGGCTATGCTTACATATTGTACCAATCGATATCGATACAATCTCACCTGTTTGATGTATCGAATACGATCCATTAGACCAACGAGACCCAATGTGTGTGGCTTGGTACCAGCAACCTCCTTTCTTTTCAAAGACACGCTATAAGTAGGGCTGCTAAAACAAATACTACAAAAAATGACCAGGCAGATGGGCAGCATAGCTTTCATTGAGTTCGTTGATGGTATGATGGGCCAGACGGATCTGATACGCTGAGAGAAACATATTGTCACAATAGCAAACAAGAAAAAAGTGGAAAACAGCGCTGCCAATCTCACTTTTAAAAGCACCGTCACCGCTTGCCAATCAAAAGTTGTAGCATTTCAAAGCTTGTCCTCATGGAAAGTTGTTTGATTAATCTCTGTTGATGAGAATCTCTAAATGAACAAGAGAAATGGATGTTTAAACCGATCACGAACTTAACTGGCCTTCCTTTTGATACTGCGATGACAAACTGCCTACCGTACCATTACAATCATTGCGGAGATACGTTCAAACTAAATACGTTACCAACAGGGAACTTATGCACATGTTAGTAGCATTGATATTATCTCTTCCACCTGCATCTTTGTCTTTGAAAGTGAAACTTGCGGACCTGAGGAATTGAGGATCACGTTGCAATCATGTTCATTTGCGAAAAATGAACTTAACTCCGATGGTGACAAGTTTCGAAAAGTTGAATTATTACCCTGACTAGTCAGAAATATTATGGTATTGAAAGAGAAGAAAAAATACGGCTAGAAACTTCTCCTAGTTTTCTCAGTCGAAAAAGCACTATCCGGCGAGACCAAGAATCGGATAGGGCGATTGTCCGGCCGGATACCCGTCCCCACTCTACTTAAAAATTATAAACATTTTCCGACAAAATGTTAAAAAAATACCGATTCATTAAGAAAAGAAAGCACACTACCTCCAGGGTGAAACAAATGAGTGTTTGTCAACAAGACTATGATTTTCTGGATAATTATGGTTGCATTTTGGCTTTCTTTTCTTATAGTCCGTTACCTACAATCCAAAAGTGGCAAAAACCCCGCCTTCATGAGTCGAAACTCAGGTATTGAACTCATTATGCTCTTTCAAAATACCCGAGCTTACCAAAGCCCACTAACTTTTAAACAATGAATCAAACTGCTCACCTGACTTTGCCCCTTAGCAGCCCCTCTATCACGTTGTATACTATAATGCAGCGTTCATACAATGAAAATGGAAGCTGCAAATGAGAGTCATCCATGTTGTTGCGATTCTTATCAGAGAGATGAAGGGTCTGAGATGAGACACGGGCATTAGAACAGCGTATTTAAGTGTGTGTGTGTGTGGGGGGGGGTGAGGGTGTGTGCGTGTGTGTGAGGGTGTGTGTGATTGTATGGCAATGGTTATGGGGCCTCTGCACAAGCTTCTTGCCCACCTTGTGGGACCTCCCTATGCTTGTGGGGCCATTCTTCGTGGCCCCACAACCAAAACCGAGATAAAAAAGTGTATTTTTCAATAATATAAAAAAGTGTGTACCTACCGTAGCAAATATCTTTCAAAAAACTACAACTCTTGTCTAAATGCGAGAAATCAGACTCTGAGACACAGGAGGTTTCATGGATGATATTATCAGGTAGAGCTATGTTGAGAGTTCCCAAAGGCAACTGCGAGGGCTCTCCACGAATGACCTGTTAAAATATATTCAGGCAATTAATATTTCAAAAATTTCTTTCAGGAGCATAATATGATCAGAACTTTACTTAGCACTTATGCTTATAATCGCCTAGGAGAGCTTGATTCTTATTCTTCCAATTTTACATACCTCTCTTATAAATTTCAGGTAAAAGTTTAAAAAACGATACAGTTTAACAGATATGTAAACAATTTTGAATCTGATTCACACTATTCAAGATGTACCAGTTTAAGAAAAAAGAGATCCTGAAAATTGCTTATGAGAATGTGAGCCCACGCCGATTTTCAATTTTTTTTTAAATTTTTAAATTTTTGTAAAACTTTTTCTTACCGATTTTTCTAAAAATTGTTGTTGATACTTCACTACAGCTGTTTCGAGCTAACGCTCATCGTCAGGTGATTTAAAAAATGTATAAAAACTAAAATTACGATGCGTTTTCGCGATCGCGAGTGGCTCGGTATCCGGGTTCGCATTCGTGACGTGACTGATAACCCTGGCATTCGTTGTTATGTCTTTCTTCCTCACTTCCTGTTATCATGTAGTAGTTCATCAAGGTGGGAGGGATAATTACTGTTGTTATGGTGCTTTCTATCTGAGAATTAAGGATGGCTTTGGATTTGAATCTATTTATTTCGAGTTGTTCACAAACGTTCATTTTTTTGCGTTTTTTGCATCTTCTCATCACCTTCATTTCACATTTTTCAAGAGGGTGTTTTGAATCAATTAAATGGTCAGACAGAGATGAGTGACCGTATTTCCTGTTCTTGGCATGGTTTAGATGTTCTTTGGTCCTTGTTTTAATACTTCTGCCCGTTTGTCCTATATATAGAGAGCCACATTCACATGTTATTCTGTAGATACCGCTCTGTTCTAAATAAATGAGAATAATAAAATAAATGAGAATCAAGACGATTTAGAACAGAGCGGTATCTACAGAATAACATGTGAATGTGGCTCTCTATATATAGGACAAACGGGCAGAAGTATTAAAACAAGGACCAAAGAACATCTAAACCATGCCAAGAACAGGAAATACGGTCACTCATCTCTGTCTGACCATTTAATTGATTCAAAACACCCTCTTGAAAAATGTGAAATGAAGGTGATGAGAAGATGCAAAAAACGCAAAAAAATGAACGTTTGTGAACAACTCGAAATAAATAGATTCAAATCCAAAGCCATCCTTAATTCTCAGATAAAAAGCACCATAACAACAGTAATTATCCCTCCCACCTTGATGAACTACTACATGATAACAGGAAGTGAGGAAGAAAGACATAACAACGAATGCCAGGGTTATCAGTCACGTCACGAACGCGAACCCGGATACCGAGCCACTCGCGATCGCGAAAACGCATCGTAATTTTAGTTTTTATACATTTTTTAAATCACGTGACGATGAGCGTTAGCTCGAAACAGCTGTAGTGAAGTATCAACAACAATTTTTAGAAAAATCGGTAAGAAAAAGATTTACACAAATTTCAAAATTTGATAAAGTATGGCCGATAAAGTTAACAACAGAAGTAATATCAATTTTTTTGGTTGCATTGAACTTGTCGTGATCAGAAGTCAAAACTGCACCAAGTTTTTATTAGTTACCTTTTCGCACAATTTGCTATTGAAGTTTCGATAATTTCCCTATTAAATAAGACAGAGGGGCGTTGATAAATCAAAGAGATCTTTCTTTCTTTCAGCATTCAATAACAGGCCAGGTATAATTTACAGAAAAATCTGGCTCGTGAAAATAAATTATGAACGGAAATAACTACCACTAAGCGGAAGTCTTATCTTGAATTCCATATACCTTTTTATTTCACCGTCAAAGGTAGTTTCTTCCTACCTTGTACCCTCCCCCTTGGACAGACATGCATTGAGTTTTTCCATTAATTAAAGCCGACTCGTTTTCTGGAAAGGAAGGTAAATCTGTTTCACTCATTATTACAGCGCTGGCTTATGATAAGACAAATTATCGAAACTCTAACTGCGAATTGTGTGAAAACCTATGGAAAATTTGCAAAGTTAAAAGTTTCCAACACGGTCGACGAATTAGGAGCAATAAAAAAATTGGGCATTGATGGGGACACAGACTCCCATGAGTGGTTTGTAGGGTTCTTTTGACAAGTCTTTGAAAATTTCATCTTTAACACAAGGACTCAGATTTAGATTTCTAAAACAGAGGAGTTTTCATGAAGAGTTTTAATTACAAGTGCCAAGGAATTTTCAATGCCGTTAGCATCTGAGAAATTTGAAATACAGCATAAACTCTAATCGGCAATAGCAGTAACATTATTGCAACCAACCATCTAAAGACAAGACTAGTGCTGTGGTAAATCTACGGGTGTTGCTATTATTGCTTGAGAACAAACGAAACATTTGCTGCTAGCCAATTAGGACTGGTCAAGTATCTTGTCTATTCATCTTTCCATTTGTTTCTACAGAAAGTAACTGGCCTGCTCTCAGTAGGAGCATAGAAAAGTTTTGAAGTTAAATTGCCCCTCAAGACAGAAGGTTGAAAAATGGAATTTCAACAACTTTTTGTTGCAATTAAATTTTAATTTCTGAGTTTTAAATTTTTGACAGGAGGAAGATACTACTCATTGAACATGCCAATGTTAAAATGAATGTTTGTCCGTAAGATATCAGTGCAGCTTGTGCTAGAATACTGATACAGCCATTCTCGTCAAAAACGGCCGACACCATCGGAATTTCATTGGCTCTGAGTCGAAACATTGTTGTTCTGTAGGTCCGTCCATTGGGTTGCTTGGCTAATAAAACTGGCACACACAATAACAGTTCATTTTTGCCAGTCTCAAAAAGTCTGCAAGCTATGAGGGTGTTCTTATTGTTAACCCTTTGTGACAAATTGTTTTGACAACTCACCGAAAACCAATAGGATACCTTGAGTGGAACTCAAAACTTCTTGTTGTCTCGACTCTGTTATTTCCAGGCATGAGTTTGATTTCTTTCAAATTGACTTGGTTCATTTATGAGCTGTGTGCCGATGAATATAATATGCAACTGAACCTCTAACATCGGAAGAGATAGATGAAACTCAATTACCTTTGGCTCTCTCATGAACAATATCCTGCCTAAAGCAGGCTCTTCAAGGTCACGCACTCTAGCAGTAAAAGGCAGTCGATTCTCATGGAATGCTTTAAAATTGAGTACTAGCTGGTCCCCGGTTTTACTGATAGGAACAAGGTTTCCAATGAATTCTAGATATAATGGTTTGCCTTCCAGCACTTCAATATCCCTACTCTTTGCCACTTCTGTGAAGTGTTCCTGGTGTTCTAGAGTTTTATCTTCTTTATCATCTGTCATACAGAATACACGTAACCTGGCTTCCTGCGAATCAATACGTTTAGCAAACACGACAAACCTAAAACAACCCAATAGAAAGGAATGAAAGACATGAGACGACTAAAAGATGTATTGGTTTCAAATTGTTTGGTTGTTTTCTCTATTGTTACATTCTAGGACAAAAAACTCCATTTTATTTCATTTATTCTACAGGGTGGCCCAGACCTAAAGTACCAGGGCTTTTTTTCGGTTCATTTGGGTCATACAAAGTCCAGGATCGCAGAGGTGAGTAGGGAAGCGACCCCAAAGAATCCGAATTTCATGGTCCCAGAGCCCCCCTGGAAGCCCTTGGTGCGTAAAAGGGGGTCCGTACTTCAGAAGTCAGGGTTAATGTCAACATTTTGAAATTATTTCATCGGAATCAGAACGTACAGAAATTTTTAGCTTAGATCGACACCAAGAAATCCAAAATCGGCCCATCTGTGTCCAAAATACCGACCCCTGAAGGTGGGGGATAGAGCCCCCTTTAAAAAAAATTCAAGTTCGTTAAATTGCCGTGAAGACTCGGAAAAATGTGTATTCATGGGTAATCGACCCCAAGGAATCCAAATTTGAGGGTCCCGTTGTCCTCAGAGACTTTTCTGATGGGGCATACGAGGACTCTGAACTTTCAAATTTAACCGGTGTGGAGGTTACCCCTGTGCCCTATCAGAAAAGTCTCTGAGGACAACGGGACCCTCAAATTTGGATTCCTTGGGGTCGATTACCTATGAATACACATTTTTCCGAGTCTCCACGGCAATTTAACGAACTTGAATTTTTTTAAAGGGGGCTCTGTCCCCCACCTTTAGGGGTCGGTATTTTGGACACGGATGGGCCGATTTTGGATTTCTTAGTGTCGATTTAAGCTAAAAATTTCCGTACGTTCTGATTCCGATGAAATAATTTCAAAATGTTGACATTAACCCTGACTTCTGAAGTACGGACCCCCTTTTACGCACCAAGGGCTTCCAGGGGAGCTCTGGGACCATGAAATTCGGATTCTTTGGGGTCGCTTCCCAACTCACCCCCGCGCTCCTGGACTTCGTACGACCCAAATTAACCGAAAAAGAGCCTTGGTACTTTAGGTCTGGGCCACCCTGTACATGTATGATTTTGGTTCATTTGACTATTTTTGATACCTTTGTCAATAATTGTAAGACATCAAAAGGGTGAGTTTCAACAATTATCTTTTGCCATTATGTGTCAAAGAGTAATGCAGATTCTAACATTTCAAATTTGCAACATGATGAGGTGACTTTTAGAAGTATGTTAGGAATGGAGCAGAGGTGTGGTAACTTCTTGACCAGGCGAGCAAGGGGGTCATGATTGGTCCCATGCGAAAATGAGAAGGCTCCAAAAGCGGAATTTAAAAATGGAAAGGACGGTTAGATCGTGTTTTTCTTTGCAAAACCGCAGTAAAAGTCATGCATTTTTGCAGAATTGCAACCTTTTAAACAAGCAAAGTCATAGAAAGGCCATCTCCTTGAAAATTTTGGAGAAAAAATAGGTTAATTAAATGAAAGGGCTAATTTAAAAAGGAGGGAAGTTGAGAACTTTCTGCATCCCTAGGGAAAGTTGTGAGTTTTATGTACTCAAAATACATAGTTTAACTTGGAGCAATGAGAATGACTATTATCATCAATGATTCGATAATACAATATTCCTAATAACTGGATTAGAATTAAAGTGTGTCTTGTTAATCTACAGGTTAAAAACCCTTCAGAACGATTTAGGGATGTGATGACAAATTTCAGCCTCCTTCGCTCATTTCATATTGTTTTGTTTCGTTGAGTTTTTAAAATTTTTTTGTATAGTTATCCTTCCTTTCATCTTGGGCTCAGAGGTATTAATTTCAATGTTGCTTCAAAAAGCTACTTCAATTTCTCCAAATATCAGTCCTGATACTGTCACAATAAGATATTTATAGTAATAGAGTTTTTTGTTGAGTATAGATTTGTAACAATATACATACTTTGCCATGAATGGAACGTGAGAGGCCTCTTTGTACAAGTCAGTTGCCATATTTGTGGCTTGGCTGATGTTCCGACAATCAATGAGCCAAAACCTTGCGGACACAGTGGTTGTAAATGAGACACAGTCTTTGACTAACGTCAGCGGGGTTGAGCCGGTCACGTCTTCCCATTGTGCTTTGGAACTCCCTCCTTAAGTACAAAATTATCCAAACACCCTGTGATTAAGAAGGTTTCATGACCATAACACTTAGGGACTTGAAATTAATGAAGACTCTTCAGAGATTTTTGAAAGAACAAGAATTCAGTAGATAAACAAAAGATTTAAAGAATGACGACTGTTAAATATAAACTTACAACTTTTGAAAATACAACTTCAAATAATTAAATTTTAGGGGGTCAAAAAAGTAGTTTACTTTGACGGGGGATCATGGTTAAAATTTTAAGTCTCCATCTCAATTTCTTCAAAAGTCACAGGGGTGTCCTAAGACTTTTGTGTCACCCTGGATGAAAGGTACTGCTCACTCTTGTTTGCAGATCTGGCAAGTTTTGTCATACGGACAAGGTATATGCGGCTGCATCGAACTCGAGATTGCATTACCTCCCCTCGAATCGTATGCTGATCATTAACACACCACTAAACCACCGTATTATCTTACCATGTGGATTTTGTCATTATCTTTTACTGCCTGGTACTTCAAAACGATACATCAAAAAAATTGACCTACTGATACATAATTACACTAGGCAACAAAATTTTGGGTTAAATTTGCCAATCGAACGTGACCTGTTTCATTCTACTCAGGGGGGTCTACTGATGACTGAAATGAATGCTTAAAAAATTCGCTAGCTCTGGTTATCAAAATATTTAGGGTTTTTTGCATTTTTAAGGGTAAATTTTGAGTATTTAAGGGGATTATTCAAATAATTTGTGGCCAGTTTTAATAAATGTTTCCAATTGGATTGCATTTTGCAAAAAGGATCCACTAGCATTGCAATGATGCTAAGATTGTGCAACTTCATCTTTTGCAATTAAATTGCGGAAATCGTGAAAAACTATGAAATTTAGGTGGTAATTTTTGTCTTAAATTTACAGTTTTTAGCGAGTAAAATAGAAACTATTAATGGATAATCGGGTTCTTCCTCCGAGACAAAAGAAGTTGCACAATCTTAGCAATATTGCAATGCTAGTGGTTCCTTTTTGAAAAATGCAATCCAATAGACTTTAAACTCGGTTAGCCTCATTCAGATGGGTCTACTGAAGACAAAAATGGGCGCAAAAAAACAGAAAGCCTATTTTTTTTAATTTTCAGGATTTTATTTTAGTCAAAAAAGTATGTATTTTTAGTCTTTTATGGGGTTTTGGTGGGCTTGGAGCTCTTGATCCATGATTCAACTTTGAAATGACTTTTTAAACGGCTAGAGACTCTGTATGTTCTCGTTGTACTGGTCTATTAAAGCCAAACATGGGTATGGAACGAATATTTTACCGCCTCTGTTTGAAATTTGGAGGATTTTTTGAGTAAAAAAGGCTCTATTTTTGTGAGTCTTAAGGCGATCAGAGCTGTGATAAGGCTTAAAATGTAAGACAGTTTTTTGACGGCTTTTCTCCCCTTCTCCCTTCATTAAGTGGGTCTTTGAAAAGGAAAATCACCCATCTGAAAAATATTTTGCTTCGTTTCTTTGAAATATTGAGGATTTGCTTGAGGAAAGCTGCGCATTTTGGAGCATTTGAATAAACAAGCTACTGCCCTGAACTAATTGCTGCAATGAAATGAAATGAAATTAAAAACAAACAGACAAATTAGAAGCTCTAAACTCGATTTTAACCTTTGGGCGAGTGTTTTTAAGTTGAAAATATACCAAAAAAGTATTTTACCTTTTTAAAAACTTCATTTTTTCATGTTTCCTTTGAAAAAAAAAAAAAAAAAAAACATAGTTCAAATCAAGCTAGACTGAACAAGGAAATGAGGTCCGTAATTCATGTACTCAATTTATTCTTCTCATTTATTTATTTACGTATTATACATGTATTTCCATGAATGACACATTAGATAAAAAAGAATACATTGAAAAAATTAGATTAAACACTATCTCGACGCTTTCTTTTCGATTGGCTGGATTTGAACTATGTTTTTTTTTTTTTTATTCAAAGGAAACATGAAAAAATGAAGTGTTTAAAAAGGTAAAATACTTTTTTGGTATATTTTCAACTTAAAAACACTCGCCCAAAGGTTAAAATCGAGTTTAGAGCTTCTAATTTGTCTGTTTGTTTTTAATTTCATTTCATTTCATTGCAGCAATTAGTTCAGGGCAGTAGCTTGTTTATTCAAATGCTCCAAAATGCGCAGCTTTCCTCAAGCAAATCCTCAATATTTCAAAGAAACGAAGCAAAATATTTTTCAGATGGGTGATTTTCCTTTTCAAAGACCCACTTAATGAAGGGAGAAGGGGAGAAAAGCCGTCAAAAAACTGTCTTACATTTTAAGCCTTATCACAGCTCTGATCGCCTCAAGACTCACAAAAATAGAGCCTTTTTTACTCAAAAAATCCTCCAAATTTCAAACAGAGGCGGTAAAATATTCGTTCCATACCCATGTTTGGCTTTAATAGACCAGTACAACGAGAACATACAGAGTCTCTAGCCGTTTAAAAAGTCATTTCAAAGTTGAATCATGGATCAAGAGCTCCAAGCCCACTAAAACCCCATAAAAGACTAAAAATACATACTTTTTTGACTAAAATAAAATCCTGAAAATTAAAAAAAATAGGCTTTCTGTTTTTTTGCGCCCGTTTTTGTCTTCAGTAGACCCATCTGAATGAGGCTAACCGAGTTCAAAGTCAATTGGAAACATTTATTAAAACTGGCCATAAATTATTTGAATAATCCTCCTAAATACTCAAAATTTACCCTTAAAAATGCAAAAGACCCTAGACATTTTGAAAACCAGAGCTAGGGAATTTTTTAGGCATTCATTTTAGTCATCAGTAGACCCCCCTGAGTAGAAAGAAACAGGTTCCATTCGATTGGCAAATTCAACCCAAAATTTTGTTGCCTAGTGTTATTTTGCGCTTATTCTAAAGCTAATTGAGACCTCTTCATCATCAGCAATAGTTGATACTCCTTCATCATTCAATTCACCAGAGAAATGTACGCCAGTACCAAAATATTCCTGTTTTCCGCAAAAAATAAACATGAAGGCTAACCTCCAGGATAAGTTGAAAGTATGATGATGGACGTATTACAGTTGGTTAGAGAGAAAGGGAAAGGAATTGCTTTTGCACCTACAAACACAAACTTTCAAGTAGCTTACCTGTTATACTGCACAGTAATCTAAGTGTTGGTGCATCTCCGGAATATTGATTTATCATTCCTTTGTTGGCTGCTTGAGGGAGGGGGATTGTTAGGTTGATAGGTTTGTGGAATTTCCTGCGACGTGGCTCTACCGTCACAATTGGAGATATGGCAACTCTGTTACCAAAAAGTTTAGAAACTAGCTCTGATGGAATGGGTTGAGCCTAAATGAAAAAGATGAAATAATACATTGGTACAAGGGTCATATATAGAGTGAGTTTCCTCTCCTTTCCTTCGGGAATTGTTCCAGTTTGCAAATTTAAAATATACCGTTTTAAAACAAATGCTCTCAGATTTTAAACTGTGCAGTGGTTCTCTTCTGCAAATGATTCACTGTTTCAAAATTGCATATTTTCGAAGTTATCGCCAAAAATTTACTATATTTACTAGGGGTTCTAAAAGGATCATCTACAAAGTAAGTTTCTCTGTTTTACATTTTCGTAATTGAAAGAAGTAAATCAAATCAGTAGAAAAGTGGGCAAACATGCTCTCAGCTTTAAATCAAGCCCGATATTTTGAAAACTGGGTGAGGGATTCGCAAGAAAATTCAGTGTGACTAGGATTACCTCTGACCGCCTAGCACACATCTTCCAATTCACTGCTGCATTGAGCCAGGACTTCCCAGCTTGTTCTCAAAAGCAAAAAGTGCTGAATGCGAACATGTTGATTTTTAGGTTTTCAACTTCAATTTGGTATACTGGCAGGACATTCATTATCAATCAATCAGTGAGAAAATAACGTTCTTGCGGTTTCCTTCTGAAACACCCAATAAACCAAAAAATTCTCTCTCAAGAATCCAGTTTTTCAACTGAATTGAAAAGAAAAAAACAACCCAATGATAACATTTTATTCTTTGCCTGTCTAAAGGCTGTGAACACAATTGTGCTAGCAGAGAGGGTAACTAATGCTGAGTGTGCAATCTGTCATAACGTCAAGAGGTGCACACCCATCAGAGATTTTTGTAGGAAATCTTAATTTTCTCACTGACCACTTGATTAATAATGCTGAAAAGATTTACCAAATTATTGCTGAAAATATTTACCAAATTAAAGCTGACGATGGCAAGAAAAATTTTCAGCTGAAAATACATGCCACCTGAGAATTACATTCAACACCTTCCACTTTTGATACTTGGCGATTTGGGAAATATCCCAATGCCGTATGCTAGTGCATACGGTTGGTGGGCACTCAAAACATGGATCTCAATAAAATTGAGTTTCCTAGCAAAATCCTAAACTAATTTTCAAAAGCTTAGGATTGAAACTGAGACAATAATGGTGCATACCTTTGGACAGATTTAATTTGTCCCTTACGCACAGACGATGTAAAATAGGAAAACTAACTTTGAGGATGACCCATGTTTTGATGATTAATAATTCTATTTTAATGATGGCTGTTGAAAAGGTAGAAAAATTCTGAATATATTCTAGAGATGATGACTGTCAGGCCAGCTTACACTGCCTACGGACCAACGTTAATGATCCACTTGTTTAGAGGTTTTTGATATCAGCCAGTGCTAGTATCAGAGTGTGCTATCTGCCAGTTCCCAGTTAAACTAGATTTCACTACGATCGACTGGCGTCGACTGGTTTTTTGGAACTTAAAATGATGACTTTCTCAGCAGTATAATTGTTTTATCAATGGTCCCTGAGAAAACTAGAAAAGAGGGATTAAGATAAGAACCGTTTTAGGGCCCACCCTGGTTTCCCAAGGCTCCAAGCTTTTTTTCTCATTGAAGGTCTTTTAATGGAATAGATCATGATTCTGCCATTTTTTGACTCTTTAGTAATTTATGAGTGGCCTTAATAAGGGTTTGAAGGCCCATTTTCGTAAATAATGCGGGTTTCTTGGCATGCAACACATACTTTCATATCAATCCTGTCAAAAAAGGCATAAAACAAAAATTATTATAAGAGGCGCAAAGCAGAACGTAAATCAAGAGTTCCAAGTGGAGAATAAGTGCTTGAAATGCGTGAAATTTGAAGATCATTCTTACCCAAAAATGCATCACTCAGATGTGATATTTTTTAGTTCTGGTCAGATACTGTATCATCCAATACTAACTGCCTCAGCTCGCTTTGCTCACATCCGCACCTAGCCAGGGGTCCACCCCCTGGACCCCCAATCACTCGCTTCGCGAGCTCCAGGAAAACTTTCAAGAGCGCATACTGAAAGTTTTGGCTTTCAGTATCATCTGGACATCAACAGCTTTCGTTTGCAACAAAAATAAGGGAAATCGGCCTGGCGATCCCTCAGAATTAAGGATCACAAGATTTTGACCCTTATAGTTTTATTTACATAGATTGGGTTGTAGTTGGATAAAAAAAGTGGTACCCTGGTCCATGTCCAGTGTCGTGGAAAATCCATTTTAACCAACTCTACAAATTACTTCATAAATTTATTTTAAAATGGTTGATGTTGTATGGTTGAGAAATTGCAATCCTGGTGTGTTCTGTGTCATAAACTATTTTTTGACAAGGATAAACATTTAGGGGGGGAGGAAACTGACCTGTAATCCTACGCGAATCTTTTTGGTAAGAGCACCGGGTGGGAATAAGGCCTGAACTTGGGGAACAGCTGTTGATGACACTACTCCACCTTCGGGACCAACAGCATGGACTTCTTGACGTAAACGTGAAACGATGGCAAAGTACTGGGGAAAATCTACTGTCAAAATGCGTGTGATTCTGCTTGTATGAAGATCTTCTAACTGCCTGAGCTCTGCAAATGCAGAAAGAGGTTCAATTTCATATAGGTGCATTTAAACCTAAAATTGGCAATGGTTAGTGTTTTAGGTGCATTTAAACCTAAAATTGGCAACGGTTAGTGTTTTTATATGGGACTTCTGACATGGTGTTTCAGCTTACTTTGGTCACGCTTGAATATCAACTAGATTGAGACATAAAAGATAATATACCTGAATGTGGCACGGGTGCTGCTTGGGAAGTGTGGGGAAAAAGTACACTAGAGCACCAATTAATTACGAGCACCATTTGATCCCCATCCAGACGTTGAGGCAAACCAACTTTTAGATAACTCGAGCGAGATCATATGCCTCAAAAAGGTTAAATTGTAGGAACTAGCCAGCTTCCAGGTCTGACCCAATAGATATATACAGGGTTATCCAAAAGTCACTGACCACCCCTGTAACTTTTTTCCAAATTGAGATAGAAGTTTGAAACTTTGGCAATGTTCCTCGGTCTAGAGTAGCAACTTTTTGGTCCCCCCAAAATTTTGGGGAACGGGGGCTAACTTTGTTTTTTCAAACGGCAACCCCCCTTTGTGATACCTCATTTGAAAGATAATAAAAAAAAGAAAATTTTTGGCGCAAACCGCAGGTCAAAATGTTGATTTTTGACAAAATGGCGGCCGGTCAAAGTTCAAAATGGAGGAAATCTGACATCTCCGTTGTTTATTGACGGATTGGCGTGAAACTCGGAATCTTGGGGTTTTTCGAGACAAGTAAAGGATTCTGTCATTGGTTTTCTAGAAAAGTCAGTCCTTTTCAAAATGGCGACGGTCAAAATGGCGGCCTAGAGCGGGAAGTGGATATTTAGGCTAGCACGTTGGATTGGCATGTAACTTGGTAACCGGGGGTATTTCGGCACGAGAAGACCGAATCTTTCATTGGATATCTGAAATTCCGACAAATTGCAAAATGGCGGGAAATCTGTTTTACGGCTGTTTACCGATGGATTTGCATGAAATTCGATAACGATTATTAAACATTTCAAGAATCTAATGAAAAATGTCTTTTTCTTGAGCTAAAAACCACGAGGATATCGAATTTCATTCAAATCCATCGGTAAAAAGCCGTAAAACAGATTTCCCGCCATTTTTCTGCCGCCATTTTGAAATTTGTCGGAATTTCAGATATCCAATGAAAGATTCGGTTTCCTCGTGCCGAAATACCCCCGGATACCAAGTTACATGCAAATCCAACGATAAGCAGCCTAAATATCCACTTCCCGCTCTAGGCCGCCATTTTGAAAAGGACTGACTTTTCTGGAAAACCAATGCTAGAATCCTTTTTCTTGTCTCGAAAAACCCCAAGATTCCGAGTTTCACGCCAATCCGTCCATAAACAACGGAGATGTCAGATTTCCTCCATTTTGACCTTTGACCGGCCGCCATTTTGTCAAAAGTCAACATTTTGACCTGTGGTTTGCGCCAAAAATTTTCTTTTTTTATTATCTTTCGAATGAGGTATCACAAAGGGGGGGGTTGCTATTTGAAAAAACAAAGTTAGCCCCCGCCCCCCTAAGGGAGGGGGGGCCGCCCCCAAAATTTTGGGGGGACCAAAAAGTTGCTACTTAAGACCAAGGAACATTGCCAAAGTTTCAAACTTCTATCTCAATTTGGAAAAAAGTTACAATGGTGGTCAGTGACTTTTGGATAACCCTGAATATATTACTTGTACATTTAAACCTTTTTCCTGAACACATGTACGAAAGTTATAAGTTTCACTGTAGCCTGAACAACAAGGTGTCTAGAATTTTTGACCAGGCTCATTCCCTGATTTTCAGGAGCTTATTCCCTGATGAGAAACCAAAGTTTTCTACCACTTCCCCAAGATTTTCGGGGGAAAAGAATATAACTCTTCAGAGTTCCATATACCGAGTATTCCCGAGCACCTGTCCACAATCTTCATTTTGGAAACTACCAAAAATTGAGCTTCGGGACAAAAACTATCAGGGCTTAACTAACCCCAAAGAATTCAATGAAATTCAGCCCTCCAAAACCCCATTTTAGGAGTTTCTTCAGGAGATTTCCCCTGCGTTTCTCGAATAGTTCAAATAGGAAGGGTATGTTTTGACTTTGGATTGAGATTCTATTGCCAAAAAAAAGAGATTTTTGTTCCAAGCAGTTTTCCCTACACCTCCATTCTTTGGAGTTACGGGACATATTGGGGCATTTTTTTGGGCAAATTTTAATTAGGCACTGGAGAAGTTAATATTATTCGATTTTCAAAATCTAAAAATCTTTTGAGAGAAGAGATTAATACCTTTTCATCGATGTGCCACACGACCCCTGTTGATCCAAAATTACAGGGGCCACGACCCTCCAAAAATTTCGAGGCTTCGGAGGGTCCTAAGTCGAAAATTTCAAAAGGCAAGGGTATGTTTCGACTTCAGATTTTGATTCTACGCAAAAAGTTCCTTAGAATTGATACAGCGCACGGCCTATTTGCTCTAAATTTTTTTGCTCCTCTTTTCCTCCAAAGATACACTTTTTACTGGGAAATGGTGTTCTAAAGTAATTTTGAGAAAATAGGCTCTGTGCCACATCAATTCTACGTTCAAAATTTTGAATCCGATAGTGTTCCTGATGTTTTTATTATCTGGTCAATGAAAGCTCCTCCATTCTTTTGATGATTTACAATTCAAATGTGTCATTCAAGAAGTCAATAACAGCGCTCCGTCAGACTAGACTGCCTTTGAAAACGAAATGATTGCTAAGCAGTAGAGGAAGAGATTCCCAGTTTCTGGAACAGATTCCCGAATTTATCCTGTAAGTTTTCATTCCCCGATGAATCCCGGTTTTCCCCGGTTATTCCCGTTTTAGGCACTATGCTGTACAGTCATCATTAATTTATATTTAATATCAATGTGTAAAATTATCATGCAAGAAATTCACAATAAAATAACATTGAAAGAAAACCAATTCACTCTTAGTAGTTCAGCGGACTTGATCAGCTGCGCTATTGTAGCAAGTGAAACGGTGTTTTAAGACTAAAAAATTTGATATATTGCTGATTCTAAGCTCTTCTATAAATAAAGTCTCCATGACTGAGCAGACATAGCATCTGACTGGTGATCTCAAGTTCCAGGGTTTGAGGCTGCTCGTGACCTAAGTTTTTCATTTATTGAAAATAAAGAGCGACGCCAAGAATGGCACAATTTGGGCCAAAAGGGATTTTTCTGAAACCGGGCCCAAACGATACCTTATGATACCCTAAAACTCTGGTTGAAATTTTAGCTTGAGTATACGCACGGTTTTTGAGAAATGAGGGGGCAAAGTTGCCAAATCGCCATCATTCTGGAAAGCATTTCTACAGCAAAAAGACGGGAAAAATGGACGAAAAAGTTACACCTTTGATGGGTTTCGGCTGTAAATGTTCTTATTGCGCCCCCAAGCATTTAACTGTGTTCAGTTTCAAAAATTTTGATCGCACAGTGGTCCAAAGTGGGGAGAAATCGTCGACAAATCATGATTCTTTGTCAAAGAGGGTTATTCAAAATCGGCGATTTTACCCTATGCTTGGATTTTGCCCGGAGTTGGATATGTTGTTCCCTATCACGAGACACGCCTTTTTCCGGCATTGGCAAGTTCACCCGAAATTTTTCCCGCGCGCTACAGCGTTGCCAAGTTGAAAACAGGCAAATTCCGTAAGTGACATTAAAATTGAGCTATGAAGATGCGGTTTTAACGAAAATTCTCTAAAAATTACGCACTTTTAGGAAATGACCATGTTTTTAATGTCGCATTAATTTTAACATGCATTATTGCCAAATTTCCGATTTTTAAATTCGACAAATGTTACATATCCGCAAATACCCAAAAAGGCTATCTTCAAATTTGAATAAAAAGTTGTCTAATCGATAGTTCGTTTGATTCCGCATCCATCAATATATTATAGCTCGCTGGGAAACTTTTGGTTCGCGAGATATCATCATTTTTGTGAACAGCTTTATGGAGCGGCGGCGCTTTTTGAGTCCGGGCGGATAGAAATTTTAGCCTCCCAAAACACCGGGTAGCATTAATTCCATGGTTTCCTATGTAATTTTTGGCGCTGAATCCGAATTTGACCATTTCATAAAAAAATTGTCACCAAGATGTTGCCAAATTTGGCAAAAATTGCTTAAAATCGGCCTTTTTGGCGGATTATAGCCTGTGACTTGCCAGGAGTTGATCAGACGACAAAATTGGTTATTTCCACAGTTTAAACTCGTTGAACTATCTACAAGCTGAGTCAAATTCTTTCTGCTCACGGTAAAATTAAACGCGCGACAAGCAGCAAACTGAAAAAAAGACACCGAAATTGGCGCTTTTTGCGGTTTTTGTCGTAAGTTTCTTGTTTTCCGATTAAGAGAATGTTTCTTGACTATACTTATGAACAACATGAGCAGAGTTTAATAAAATTGAACAATAAAATAAAATCGAACATATTCCAATGTTGCCAAGCTTAAACAAAATCCTTTAATTTTCGCTGGTTTTTTCGATATTTTTGTCCTATATTCTTTGTTCACCTCTTATTTTTAAATTTTATAAATGTATCTCTCTTGCAAAATAATACACTTCTGTAGAATAATTTAATTTTCAACTTAGATATATACTAATAACTAGGGTATTTAGTTCAGAGAGGAAAAATTCATAAAATAGTGAGTTTTATCGAATCGTGTCAATAAACCACATTTTGAAACAATAATGGAAAATGTTCTGCTAAAAATTAATGAATAAAATGTACTCCTCAGACTGACTTCATTAAAACAAGACAAGACGCATTGCAATATTGCCAAAATTACGTACAATCGTTGAATTTTGGCGGTATTTGACCGTTATTATTCATTACCCTATATTTAGTATACAATTTTATTTTATAATTCTGAGGTAATGGAGTTTAATAGAAAAAAGTAACGACACCAAACTGAAGAAGACGCCCAGGGAAGGACAAGAAGGGGCTTAAAAAGGAACAAGGGCGCTCCAAATTACTGAGGACCTGTGGGTGGACAAGGGACTATGGCGGTTAGGCGTCGCGGGGCCCGAGAGACCGCTGTTAAAGCGGCTCTTTATCTATATATGTAACAATACAGTAGTTTGTCGTTACACTCAGAGTAATTCAGATTTTCCTAAGAAACATTCTCTTAATCGAAAAACAAGAAACTTACGACAAAAACCGCAAAAAGCGCCAATTTCGGTGTCTTTTTTTCAGTTTGCTGCTTGTCGCGCGTTTAATTTTACCGTGAGCAGAAAGAATTTGACTCAGCTTGTAGATAGTTCAACGAGTTTAAACTGTGGAAATAACCAATTTTGTCGTCTGATCAACTCCTGGCAAGTCACAGGCTATAATCCGCCAAAAAGGCCGATTTTAAGCAATTTTTGCCAAATTTGGCAACATCTTGGTGACAATTTTTTTATGAAATGGTCAAATTCGGATTCAGCGCCAAAAATTACATAGGAAACCATGGAATTAATGCTACCCGGTGTTTTGGGAGGCTAAAATTTCTATCCGCCCGGACTCAAAAAGCGCCGCCGCTCCATAAAGCTGTTCACAAAAATGATGATATCTCGCGAACCAAAAGTTTCCCAGCGAGCTATAATATATTGATGGATGCGGAATCAAACGAACTATCGATTAGACAACTTTTTATTCAAATTTGAAGATAGCCTTTTTGGGTATTTGCGGATATGTAACATTTGTCGAATTTAAAAATCGGAAATTTGGCAATAATGCATGTTAAAATTAATGCGACATTAAAAACATGGTCATTTCCTAAAAGTGCGTAATTTTTAGAGAATTTTCGTTAAAACCGCATCTTCATAGCTCAATTTTAATGTCACTTACGGAATTTGCCTGTTTTCAACTTGGCAACGCTGTAGCGCGCGGGAAAAATTTCGGGTGAACTTGCCAATGCCGGAAAAAGGCGTGTCTCGTGATAGGGAACAACATATCCAACTCCGGGCAAAATCCAAGCATAGGGTAAAATCGCCGATTTTGAATAACCCTCTTTTTAATAATGGAAATAAAACAGTCGGTCTGCTGCAGTTTTCATGGCTAACAATGTTCTTATCGGTCCTAAATGCATGAAATTCTGTTCAGCTCCACAAATTTACATTGCACAGTGGTCAAAAATGAGGGAATTAGTGGACAAATTAAGATCCTCTGTGAAACTTTTTAAAAATGAAGTGAAACTGTTGGCCCCCAGTAGAGTTTAGATCCTGGAAAAATTCTTTAAATTATTTTTTGGACTGTCTAAATCATTTTTTCTCCATTTTTCCTTCTTTTTTTTAAATTTCTGAAAGTTTGCATATTTTATCGAGATAATGCCACAAAGTTTATTCTATAATAACGTTCTTTAGACAATGAGGTCTGACATGCAGTCATAATTAAGAAAATTAAATACATTAACTTTTCCAGGATCTAAACTCTACTGGGGACCAACAGTTTCACTTCATTTTTAAAAAGTTTCACAGAGGATCTTAATTTGTCCACTAATTCCCTCATTTTTGACCACTGTGCGATGTAAATTTGTGAAGCTGAACACAATTTCATGCATTGAGGACCGATAAGAACATTGTTAGCCATGAAAACTGCAGCAGACTGACAGTTTTATTTCCATTTTTAAAAATTTGACAAAGAATCATGATTTGTTGACGATTTCTCCCCACTTTGGACCACTGTGCAATCAAAATTTTTGAAACTGAACACAGTTAAATGTTTGGGGGCCCAATAAGAACATTTACAGCCGAAACCCATCAAAGGTGTAACTTTTTCGTCCATTTTTTCCGTCTTTTTGCTGGAGAAATGCTGTCCAGAGTGATGGCGATTTGGCAACTTTGCCCCCTCATTTTTCAAAAACCGTGCGTATACTCAAGCTAAAATTTTAACCTGAGTTTTAGGGTATCATAAGGTATCGTTTGGGCCCGGTTTCAGAAAAATCCCTTCTGGCCCAAATTGTGCCAAAAAACGGTCGTTTTTGGCGTCGCTCTTTATTATTTAAAATCTATTACTTTATTATCATTTCCAGTAAATATGTGACCTATTTTTATTTATTCAATGATAACAACATCAAAAGTTACTCCCTTGAGTTGGTTTTCATGGATCCTATTTGAATATACCACTTAAAATGGCGCAAAAGCACACCAAGAGTCTAGTTTGGCATCCACCTGGCAAGCACTGCTTCTGTCATTAACCCTAGTCTGCCTGAGCCTCTGAACCAACGAGAAAGCCTGAGCGGGGTCAATTTGACCCCAGCTGAAAATCAGTTAGTTAGCTATGTTTTTTTTCATGTTTTTAGTTAATATCAGTGCACTAACCTTACAGGCCTTAACCATAAAGCATATCTAAGTTTTAAAAAACACGGCGCAGGGTATGCAAACATTTTATCACACACATGTTGCCATGTTGTTCTCAGCATGAGAAAAAAAAATCATAGGGCTACTAAATACTGAAAACGAAAAAAATCTGAAAAATTTTGCTTGTTTTATAAGTTTCTAAAAAAAATTAAAAAGAGAAAAATAAATACACCTTCAAAGTAAGCTTTTGTGATGCTAAATGGTAAAATATATGTTATAAGGATATCTGACCCCGCTCAGGCTTTCTAGGGGTACTCGTAAATTTTTTGATCTCTCATGCACATTTTTTTTTTCCCCTTCAAAATCGTGTTCCTAGATGTTTTTGTAGAGCTATCTGTGAAGGACGAAAAATTTCGTGCATACCACAAGAAATGGCAAAGAGTTGAAACGCCCGTGGGGTCAATCTGACCCCACTCAGGCAGACTAGGGTTAAGGCAGTTTGCACCGTGCACTGCATACAAGCATGCCTTTCCCTGATATATAGTTTTTTTATGATAAACATAGTGTCCATAGGAAAATTCATGATCTTAAATTTGAGCTTTATGAAAGAATTTTCAGATAATATGTCAAATTATTGTATTTTCAGGATATATAATATTGGTTTAGAAGAAGAAAAACGGGTCCATCCTTGGAAATTGGCTTTTTCTGTATAGATGTGACTAAATGCACTAAATTTGAGTACAACTATGCTCCTGACAAGGCTTTTGAGGGCCACTAGTGAATGAGACCATCATCTCTTTAACGAAAGGGTGCAGATAGAGGTTGAGGAGTCATGGTGCCATTGACTTTGCAGGGTTGTGTACGGCAAAATGATCACATTTCGACAATATTTTTATCAATCTTAAAATAGGTTTTGCAAGTTTAAGGAGGCACATATGTTTGGCAATTTGTTGAGACATGGTGTAAAATAGTTATTTTAAGAATTAGAAATAGATTTAACCCTCTGTATTGTTTCAAAACAAAGGCACATACCAAACAGGTCCAATCTCGCACACTGTGGATGTCTTTGAAACTAGACCCATTCAATCCTAAGATAATGTCCAATCTTTTCCAAAAGTTCACAAATGGGCAAAGCTGGGTTCGACTTTACTCACAGATAGAGAATGGATGAAAAATAAAGTTTTACCTTCCCCTTCAAAACTTTCATTTAAAACATCTTGGACAGCTTCCTCACTAGCCTCTAAGGTATGTTCTCGCCACGAAGATCCATTGTCAGATCGTAAAATGACTAGTTCTCTCTCTTTGCCTCGCAAGGATGCAAAATGTGGAACTTCTATGATAACAGGACTGAAAAATAAAGAAGTATCGAAATTTTAGGTAAAAAGAAAGTTCATAGCCAAAAGGACTACTCATCTTTTAAACTTGAGGAGCAGGATCTTCCATACAGAGGATCTGCACTTGTGAATTAAGAGGACAGTAAACTTTTACATGTTTAAGAAATCCACTAGACGGCGCCTATCAGATTTTGGGACAAATCATAATTCCAAGATTGAGGAACATTTGGACCGCGTTCAACAGAAAGGAACCAAGCCACATCAGCTATTGCCAATTTTAACTGGGCAATTTAATTTTTTACGAGAAAACGTTTGTGCAGATCCCTTTAAAAATGTTGAGGAATTTGCTTCGTACTATGGAGTAAATCCACTGAAATTTGCACGAAAATCTGCACAACTGTTTTCATGTAAAAAATGAAATTAGCCGGTTAAATTTGGCAATAGCTGATGCGGCTTGGTTCCTTTCTGTTTAACGCGGTCCATTTCAAAATGAATAAAATGTAAAGATTAAGAAGAGAATCGGTTGCATTTGAGTCATTCAGCCTCCATCACTATCTTCATTTATCACTGGGATAACCGTTGCTGACCTTAAAAAGGAAGGAGAGCTTTTCAGCTGGATGGATAATTTTTGATAAAAACCTATTCATTTCTAAGGAAATAAGTAATTTATGCAACATGCAAGCAGCAGTCGACCGTTCTTCTGCCATTAAGGCATTCACAGGCAAATTCCTTAGTGGCATCAAGACCATTTTCGTTTTACTACATACAGGCTGTTCCAAAAGTCCAGCCCCCCCCCCTCTAACTTTATAACGGTTTGAGATAGAAAAATGAAACTTTGGGAATGTTCCTATCTCAAAGGGACCATCTTTTGGGGGGAGGGGTCAAAATTTTGGTCTCCCCTCAGGGAGCGACAGGAGGCTCCCAACTTTTTTTTTCAAATGGCAACCCCTATCTTGTGATACCTCATTTGAAAGAGCATAGAAACTAAGAATTTGGCACAAAACGCAGATCAATATCTTAATTTTTGACCAAGTTATAATAGGTCAGAGGTCCAATTTGACCTATTATCAAACAATCATAACTCCAGTTCAAATTATCGTAAAGAAAAAACGGGAATATTTACCAAATTATGTTTGCTTTTAAGTAAACATTACAGAAATCACCTCGAACTAATTTTAAGGGGGGGGGGGGTCGGACCCCCAAATACGTCAATTCAAAGATCATTCAATTTTACCGCGAAATAAGCCAATTTCCCCTGAATTTGCCTCCATATTATCTTAGTAGAGTCAAAATCAGTTCAACGTTATGTTGGCAAGTCCCCAAATTTAGGAAAAGTTCAAAAGAACGAAATTGAAACTGTCAAATTTAATCACCTTAAATTTTGTTTTTTTGAACTTTACCCGAAATTTGGGGACTTGCCAACGTAACGTTAAACTGATTTTGACTCTGCTAAGATAATATGGAGGCTAATCTAGGGGAAATTGGCTTATTTCGCGGTAAAATTGGATGACCTTTGAATGGACGTATTTGGGGGTCCGAATCCCCCTTAAAATTAGTTCGAAGTGATTTCTGCAATGTTTACTTAAAAGCGAACACAATTTGGTAAATATTCCCCTGAGGGACGACCAAAATTTTGACCCCCCCCCCCCCAAAAGATGGTCCCTTTTGAGATAGGAACATTCCCAAAGTTTCATTTTTCTGTTCAAAAGTTGGAGGGGGGGGGGGCTGGACTTTTGGAACACCCTGTAGATGAAAGTAATGGACAACTAAGTGTAAGACTTTTCCATACAGAGACGAGTGCTGCGCAAGGTTTTAAGTCGACTGCTTTGATCTTCATTATGACAAGAAGGAAGTTCTCACATGCCACTTTCAATTTTAAAGTATTTCAACGTGTTGAAAAGAGATTTCTAAAGCTTTCTTGTGCCGACTAAAGAGGTTACTCCCTCCTATAGAACACAACCGATGAGACTTTTTCTCTGGAACTCCAAAACCATACCCGGAACATAGAATTACTATTATTTGCAAATATTTCATGAGATGAAAAAGTCCCCAACGTTCGCGTATTAGGGTTCTTGTTTCTCAGTTGAATGGAAACGCAGTTAATGAAATTATTAAATTACAGAAAAAAAGGAGGAATTATGATTGCTTCTATTCCTTAACTTTACATGAATAAAATCGCTGTGTCAATATGAACTACAGTCCTGCGTTAAAAACCATCTTCTTACCATGGTCCTATAATGAATGGTCTTGTGCGACCAGCATACCTCATATGATCACTAGAATTCAAAAAAAAATTGGCACTGTACTAAACATGGCGATTTTGCACCTACAAACCAATTTTTCTTACAGGAAGCACCCAATTGACTTACTTAGGCATGTTACTCAAATGTTTAGAGCCAAACAGAATCGAGAATCTTAATTGCAAGCCAGTAACCTTTGCTGAAATGACAATTTTGACCGTTTTAGTGACAAAAAACTGGTTTAACTTGTAAGACGAGAGACTCGATTGACCTAAAACCCTATCTAAGAAGAATAGAGCATGATTTTCAAATGCTCGGGAGGAAAAATAGTGATTTTGCCAGAAAATCTTTATGGCTGCAAGTAACCTCTACTGCAATAGCTAACCGTTTTTTTCACAGGGGACACAGAGACTCTATCAACCTGAAACCTTTTCCAACAAACTGGGGCATGCTTCTTGAAATATTGAAACCAAGTTTAAATAATTATGTCCGAGAATCTTGAAGGCGTGCGAGCAAACCGTTGCCGAGATGGCCATTTTTGGCGCCGAAAAACCATTTTTCAGTGGGACGCACCATGCATAAAGACTTTAGATTTTGTTTGTGGTAACAACTGGTGTATTAAATACATTATAAGGCAAAAAAAAGATGTATGTGTCCTCATTTTATTTTACATCGCTAAAATCTGAACAAAATTGAAAATTCACGATTTTTACGAATTTTTTTTAAGGGTCTAAATATGGTTCAATATGGTTTGATTTCTTAACTAAAGAATCTGATGGGTCTGATGTAAATTTGGTGAAGTTTCGGTGTATTTTCATCGAAAAACGCGGGATATTTGAAATAAAATTTGAAAATACCCTGAAATTCCCCGAGAAGTGTTTATCGGGGCTGAAGGAGAGGGGGTGAAGGGTGGGACTTATTTTTTTAAATCGACAAAACCAAATGCTTTTATTGCATGAAGATGGAATGAACTTACTTTTAGCAAAGTTTTCGACCTCCACTGTCATTACAGGGTGTCTATTAAATTTTGATAGCTAAAGACCGGTCAAAATGGAAGTATTTTTCACGATTTTTCTGTATCTGAAGACACAGTGCAATAAACAATCAAACATCTATCGATCTTTTGAAATTTGCCCTTCCATACTGGTGGTATGGACTTGCTTTTCCCCAATTTTCGAACTTCCAGTGTCATTACAGGGTGTCTTCTAAATTTCGCCATTGAAGAAACGGCCGAATTGAGGATTTTTTTGACGTTTTCAAAGTGATTGCAGGCACTGCACAACGAGGAATGTAAGACATAGGAACCAAGTAGATATTTTTTATTCATTACGGAGGGTATGAACTTACTTTGCACAAATTCTCGGACCTCCACTGCCACTACAAGGTGTTCAAAATAATTCTCCAAAAACGGCCAATTTGAGGTATTTTTGACGTTATCGCTGCCATTTCGGGTATCGCAGGATGAAGAATATAAGACGTAGGAACGAAGTAAAATTTTTTAATTCCATACAGACGGTATGAACTTACTTTCCACAAATTTTTGGACCTTCACTGTCATTACTGGGTGTTCATTAAATTTTCGAACGCGAAAAAACGGTCAAAATTGAGCTATTTTTGACAGGTTTTCCACCATTGTGGCCATAGCTTGGCCGAAAATAAAAGACCTAGGAGTTTTCTGACATTTGCCCTTTCATACTGATGGTATGGACTTGCTTTCCACAAATTTTTGGATTTTTACTACCATTATAGGTTGCTCAAAAAGTTCATTATACGTTAAAAATGGCGAAATTTCGATTTTTAGAGCTGCCGAGCGGAGAGTTTCGGCATTACCAAGCGAAATGAGTGACCTCGGAGAAAAACAAAAATTTGCCCTTAATCTGCAAGGTATGAGCTAGGTTTGTACCAATTATTGGGCATCTAGCGTCAAATCCGTGTTGCTAGCAAAAATATCAAAAATATACGACGAAAATGCCCAAAAAACCGGAAAAATTTCGATGTTGGCTTCCGTGTTTTTTTTTTATCACATAGAACCATTTAAGACCGTGGAACATTTGGTTTTGTCGATTTAAAAAAATAAGTCCCACCCTAGGGGAGGGGTTAGAGTCGGGAGGTAAAAATTGCCCAAAACCATGTTTTAAGGACCTCCTGAAAGGATTTAGACAAGTCTAAATTCGTGAGGAGGGGCATTTTGGTGCCCTTACCCTGGGATACCTGATTTGAAATTAAACAAATTACAAAAAGAGGAGCTTACCCTAAGAATTTTGCACCTACAGGTCCGAATTCCAAAATGCGGCTTGCGAGGGCTTCTCCTTCCATCAAAGGAGGGGGATTCAGGAGTCTGTCTCTGCGCAGATATCTGCACGTGATTCGCATTGGACGCTCAGCTTTACGAGGGGGAACGATAACCCTCACACCAGAGTGACGACAGCCTCGCATGGCACCGCCTCTTGCATCCACAAGGAAACTCACCAGGAAACTAATGACAGAGGAAAAAGTTTAAACTTGCAGACTCTGAATTCCGTCATTGTATTTTAAAACATGTCATGAGAATCATAAACCTAGAAGAACGTCAACGACAGAGTATTTCTGAATTCAATTTTGTTTCTTTGCTTAAAACGAACTACACTTTGCAAATAGGAAGGAGCTACTATTTCTGGCTCATCCATCAAAGCAAGCATCTATGTGCAAGAACACACTAATGGAACATGTGTCGTTTTTAAAATAAGTCAGAAATTGCGTGGCATGAAACGAAAAATTCCAGACCTTTTTGTAGAGTTCCAGGATTTTACGGACCAGTGGAAAACCCAGCTTAAAATGAATCTTAGACCCTGAGGCCTGTGTATCATAAGTTCTTTTTAGAATAAAAATTCAACTGAGGTTAGAAAAACGGAATAATGGGCCTCTTGCAAACTTTTGCTACAGCAAAAAGTAGAGTTATTCCTGGTAGAAAATTTCTTAAAAATCACGATGAGCGCATCTGTGGGGAGCAATGCCCGCTTTTATGGTCCCTACGTATCAGAAATGCATCCAGTCTTGTCGCGATACCGCAAAGCGTAGCGTAGACTGGGACGGAGGAAAGGACTTTTCCGGAAGAGGTGGTGGCAGCAAGAGGTGTCTTAAGGAAAAAACACTGATTATCCTTAGGATGAAACGAACAGATCACCCTTGAGAGGAGGTAAATTCGGGAAGAAGACGCAGGGGAAGCCACAGCTCCCTTCGGCTACGAATTCCCATACACTCTGTCCGAACTCTCTCAACCCCGCGATGCGGCGTTCGTCGATCGCGAATCCTCGCTAGTACGCGCATGCGCTGTTCGTGGTGTGTATCAGCGAAAAAGACGGAGAGTAGCGTTGTCGAATATCCACCTAAAATTGAAAGATTTTTACGGCGGATATTCGGAAGCGAATACTTCTCCGACACATTGGCAAAGCCTGAAATGCACTCACTCCTAACTTTACAATCTGCGTAAGAAATTTGCGTTTATTTGGGCTTACTGCTTCAAAAACGGTAATACAGCACAGGTGAAAATTTAGAGGAGTCGTTCCATCTAACTCCTGCTCAATGGATTGCTAACATTCAATATTCACCATGGCTGACACCAAACCCACAAAACACTTGACGGGACGAGATTCTAACCACCTGATAACAATCGACGGGTTTACATTCACATTTTCCTCTCGTTGAGATAATTGAGAGGTTGGCTTTGATTGACCTTGTGCTCCCTTCCACTTACATGGGGAAGCGTCGACCATGATGAATATTGCAAAACATCCTATTGAGCAGGGGTTGAATGGAACGACTTCTCTAACAAAGTGTTCACCTGTGCCGTGGTATCGTTTTAGAAGCAGGAAGCTGGAATAACGCAAATCTATTCAGCAGATTGTAAAGTTGGGGGCGAATTTCAGAGTTTGCCAATGCCCTCATCGTGATTTTTTGAACATTTTCTAAACGAAACAAATCTATTTTTGCTCTGGCAAATGTTTGCAATGAGCCTACTCTACTGGAGATAAGCATGTATTATTAAGCTTTCTTAAATATTTTTTTAAAAGAGGACAATAAGAACTGAGAGACTGTGTAATTGAAGGCATCACGCAATTATTTTCAAAATTTAAATAAAATCAAAATTTGCAACTTTAAATTTGGCAAAAATTTCATGAGTGCTTCTTGACTTCATTCAAGCAACAAACAGCTTTGAAAGAACTTGGATTGCTTGGTAAGAAGATACTTAGGAGCGAGGAAAAAAACCATCAGGAAGGGATAGAAATCAAAAGGAAGTCTCTTGGAAGTCATCATTGAAAACTGATGCGACAGAAAAGAAATAATTCTCTAAGGATGGCAACAGTAAAAAAAAAAAAAAATCAAATCAAATCGTACAATAAAAACAAACGATAATCAAATGGAATCAAACTATTAAACAATAACATCTATCAAAACATGAAACGCTACAGTTCTTCTTTTAAGACTGTCTTAAGGAGTAATATTGAAACTCAAGCAAAAATTAGATTAGAAAAAAACAGGGTAAAAATTGGAGAAAAACAGGTTGTTGCTAGAGAGTAAGGCAAAACCTGGCATCTCTGCAAATCAGTGTTTGATCTAGCAAATGCGCAAGCAGGAGTGGGAGGCGGGTATTCCATATCCTCTTTGACAAAATCTCTTGTCTCCATTCTGCTAAGTTTTAACTCTGCTTTGGTGGTCGTAAGCGACTCGAAGAGTTGCAGAGGAGGAAAGTGGTAAGGTGAAGGATACTTCTGAAGGGATAATAGGGGCTAAACTTGCGCAAAAGTTGAACAAAAAATTTCAATTGTAGTAATAAAAATCAATGAGTGGAGGGAGTAGAGCTCTTGCCTTAACTAAAGATTGATAAGTAATTGATAAATAGCTAAATATAGCTTATGATAGTACAATGCAATGAGCTGAGGGAATTTACAAGTAAGTATCTCACAATGTGAAACTTTTCAAGTTTATTTCTTAATAATAAGACAGATCCTGATTATTTTAGGTTTTAGTATTTTCCAACAATGTCAATTTTTTGGATATTTCCCACGTTGTTCCACAAAAAAGATTAAATGAAGAGGAAAATGGCGATAGATGAAACAGAATACAATAAGGTGCAGGCTGAAAAATCAAAGGCATGCTAATGAGGGTGACTGGAGAGGAGAGGAATGTGCTTAAAAGAGATATTTAAACCTACAAAAAACTTAAGGGGAGCAGAAAGGTAGCTTATAATGGTAATAAAATAAATGTGAGGAGATCCTATAGGCTATACATTATTTATAGGGTGTAGAGCAGGATGGAGATTAAAAACGTGACCAGTCTTGTTCATCTTCATCCTGCTCTGTACCCAACTATTTCCATCATTGATTAAGTTTATGTAAACTACGAAAGTCGTCCAGAAAGTAAGTTTACATACCTACTCAATAACTCCTCAACTGAGATAAGTAGACAAAGTATGTTAAAAGCGTTAAAAAGACCTAAATCTCAGCTTCCCAATGTGCTATAGATTTTTAAATTAGGCTCGATGAAATTTTATAACATGAGTTTTTCTGAATCCTCTTCCTCTCTGAGCAGGCCCAAAATTTCACGGAGCATTATCAGCAAGAGAGCTACTGTATCTTTTGCTTATCGCAAGTAGCTGTACTAAAGATAATTGACTTTCATGTAATATAGGAAGGCGCATTTAGTAACTAGAAAATTTCACAATTGATCGTGTTTACTTTGATTGTGAGGGTTTGATCAGCAGTGCATGGAAAGGTTCAGCTACATGTGGTCAAATTGTGGAGTCATGCCGCTAAATTTGGTTTCAGACGGTGAGCCGTGTTTCTATAATCAGTTTTTTCCCCAAGAATGGTGAGTGTAGTTGCTTAAATTCAGAATAATGTACACTGAAAATGTAATAGAGGCATGCTTTTTCAAAAACCGTATCTTTGACGGAATTTCTTTGGAAGGGCGGGATAGTGCAGAGGCTTACAGACGATTTAGTCAGCAACTAAGACTTTGCCCTGACAATTTAGTAGAATTTTGCTCCGATGCCACAGCTACAAAAGTAAACGCGGTCAATCCTGGTATTTTCCACGTAATAAATGTGCTTCCTCATGTGTTGCATGAATTTCAACCCTCTTTAATCCATTTACTTGCGATAAACGATAAATGAAGCCACTTACTTGCTGATGAAGATCCCTGAAATTTTTGATCTGCGCAGAGAAGAGGTGGGTCCAGAAAAACCCACTTTCTAAAAGTTTCATTTGACCAAATTTAAAAATCTATATTGCTTTAGAAAGCTGAGAGTACCTAGTGGCCACTTAATGTTTTTCACAGATTTTTTTCTATCTATCTTAGTATTGGAGATACTTAAAAGGTAAACTTACTTTTTGGACAATCCCGGTATGATAATTTTCAATTATGATATACAATTCATTCAACCGTTTCAGAGTATTTCAGATAGCTCTGAAGATGGGTGCAGGCCACCCAAAAAGCTTCGGCTAATGTAAAACAGTATATAAAAAATACTGAAATAAAAAATCTGGCGTAAAGAATTTCGTCACATTCATTTTAATCAAAGTGGACATGTTCTTTGAAATCTTTATTTTCGGTAAAAATGGCAAAAGACTAGGTGGTCTTGATTTGTGCATTGAAAGTTAAAACTCTGCTGTTGTAAGCTGAAGGGGATGACTAGGTGCTGTCCTGCCGAGCAAAAAGTGGTTGCAAGATTGTTGTAACAACGTTGCTGCTAAAATTAACATCCAAGCAAAATTTTCACAACGTTATTTTTGGCCGTTGCTGGGTAGGATATATTTGGTTTTAATTCCTATAGGAATTTGCGAGTGGTCCTGAGGTATTGTGCTTAAACTTCAGGATAGTACATTGGCAATTACAAAAATTCAACAAGGAAAATGTAAAATTGCAAAATATCAAACAAAGTTTGAAAAATGAACATATTTATGGAAACATAATTTACGATTAAAATCAAGCAATGAGACTGACAAAGACACTGTTTCCAGAAGAATAAGAGGCGCGCATAGACATTGAATATCGATTATGATATGCTACAAAGTAATGATAAACTTTAATTTCAAACAGAATCTACTGCGGATGAAATTTTACACAACTCGAGTTGTATGTGTGAGACTTGAGAAGGCAGGATTTCTCTGAATAGGTTTCTAAAAAGATCATGCATTGAGAAATGGATAAACCTCTTCTAAAACACTTTGATTGTTTGAGAGCTTTAGGAGGGTTTAAAGAGTGTCTCCTCAGGAACTGGCAGCTGTCTGCTAGCCTCCTCTCTTCTGTTTTCTCTTATTACCTTTAGTTCTCTTGTCATCATTTTTTACCTTTTCACTTTTTTGTCTTATTTCTGTGCTGACCTGTACCATAGTCCAACAAGGATTTTATGTACGCACAGGCAATGTAAAGTAGATTCATAGGAGAGATAGCACCTCTTTTTCAGAGCTCCTAGGTCCTTTTTAAATATTTTAAAAA